CTGTAGACGTTGGAAAGACTTTTTCTCTCTCTATATATATATATATTCTTTTTTGGTCGTTCCAATTGGGTCTTGTCGGGTCCAGGTCTGGCCAGACTCGACGTGTTGCCACCCTTATCTAAGAAGTTATCCCTTAAGTTGGTGCCTATGAGGGCAATATAACGCCCTTTTGGGGCTGCAGGGAGGAGAAAGTCCACACATTGTACATCAAACAATGAACTTAGGGGCCCGCTTGCGGAAGAAATGGCTCCTGCCATTGTTTCAAAAGAAGATTTTTTATTGATGGAATAGAATAGCCTCAGTCATCGATGCAAACAATTGCCTCTCTCTCTCTCCAATGACTTGGAGATTTAGTTGTCTCTCCCTCTTGACATGGAGAGGACCCACACGTCTTTCTCTCTCTTAGATTGTTTTAAGAGGACTTGACTTTCTACATTTGTCTTGGAAATTTTTTTACTCAATCACGTCAATGCATTGTGCCTATCTTCATGTATAGAAACTCCATCTTTCGACATGATTTAGAGGTGTGCCTTCTTGGATTATTTAAGATGGATACCTCAAGGAAATTGTAGCAAAATACAAATTTAATTCTTTCACATTTATAGGCAGGCAATTGGGGAGGCAAAGGACCACAAATGTACAATGGTGACCACATTTAGAGGGAAAAACTTGACAACACTTGAAAAATCAAATAATGTTTGGGAAATTCCATATAATAGGGCCTAACCCCTTACAAAAATCATTAAATGGCCCAAAACATCTTAATTAATAAAGTTTACTTCAAATTTTCTCACTATTAATTGAGGATCCTCCTAAAAGAATGTCTTTAAGAATGCCTAACTTGCTTTTGGTTTGGGAACCCTCAATAATAAGCAAAGGCCTTTTAGTAATTATAAAAATTATGAGTTGATTGCGGAAATTAATGCATGAAGGTTTAAATGAGAAAAGAAAAAACTGTTAGAGATGATGGAAGCAATGTGCGAAAATTTGATGCGCATGACATATTCTTCCAACTAATCTACAATTCTCATATGTGATGGTGATTGTTCGTGCCATCTACGCTACTGTTATTTGGCGGCAAACACATTGGCCTCTAAATTTCAAAGATAATCGGAAGTCATTAAAAGTCACCAAATTTTGTTAATGGTAAAAAAAAAAAAAAAACCGAAAACAAGAAAAAAGAAAAGAAAGGTCATTGAAAGTCATCAAAAGCCAAGTCTTCAACTCCTCTCTTCATGGAAACAGGAAAAGAAGTCGGTTCTAAATTTGAACCTTAGAAACAAAGATAAAATAAAACATCAAAATAAAAAACAATTTTACACCCGACAATAAAATTCTCAAAACATGAAATATTTTCTAATGGAAAAAGTCTGTACTGAGCCTAGGCTCTAAACAATCAAATTAGAGCCCACCTCAAAACTTTCATGAAAAGAGGTAGTTTTGATGCTCAAATATCCTCAAAATTGATCATCTCGTCATCAAGATGCATGGATATGAGGAAAAAAATGCCTTTTAAGTTTTGAAAATAGTGTATCTTGTAACGTATATTTTGACCGTCAATTTTCAAGATTTTCAAATTGTCGTATATCTACTAGATCTACACTATTTTTTAATCTTTAAAATTTTTAATTAAATTTTAAAATATATTTTAAGGCTATCATAAATATTTCCAATATTGAAACCATATTTCTCGACAATATTGTTTAGAGTCTCGGTTCTATACAAACCGCACCCAATAATAAATGTAAATAAATTAGCTAACTGTATCAGTCAAACTTATAAGTCTTGGAAATGGATTTGTAGAGCAAGTGCTGCTTTTTGGTTTCCAAAACTAGTATGAGGATTTGGATAAGATGAATTCAAACAATCCTGTCAAAATTTTCTATTGGAACGATCAGTTAGGACCCAGCTCCGACTCAAATAATGCCAAGCCTAATAATAATTATCTAAGTAATATTTAATATTATATATTTTTAATAACATTTTATTGATATTTAAATAAATAAAAATATATGTTTTAGTTATAATATTTAAATAGTCCTTGTATATATCTAATATAATACTTAAAATAAATTTAAATATATATTTTTTTATTTTTGGGTTGGGTCCCATCAGGTCTGCATAGATCCGGGTCCAGATCTAGGTCCAATTTTGTGTTACTCAATCACCTGGTCAATGCATTGTGGATATCTTTCATGCGTAGAAATTGTATGGGCAACAATCGCATATGGCACATGGCACATTGCACAGCTGATAACGAAGTTCTTTAAATTAATCTTCTCGAACTCAAGATGTAATGTATGGAGATGAAAGAAAAAAGGATTTTAAGTTCCATACAAGTCATCTAGACCGTCCACTTTTAAGATTTTCAAGTATTTATTAAAAATTTGAGTTTCAACTATTTTGGAACTTTAAGATTTACGATTGGGAGTGGCAATATATTTTTAGTCCATCAAAGAGATTTCTAATGCCAGAATGGACGGCTTACTTTGATTATTTCAGGTGGATACTTCAGGTAAATTGTAGCAAAATACAAATTTAATTATTTCAGGCAGCCGATTGGGGAGGCAAAGGAAAATGGCGACCACATTTAGAGGGAAAAACTTGTTATACCATATAAGATGGCATAACCCCATACAAAAATCATTAAATGGGAAAAAAAAACAACTTAATTATTTAAGAACTTTATTTCAAAATTTCTCACTATTAATTAAACAGGCACCTCTTAAAAAAATAATTTTAAGAATGCCCATTTTTCTCTTGGTTTGGAAAACTTTGGGTATTTTACTAATTTGACCTACCTAAGAGGCCTAACACAAATGACAGGAGTATCCCTACTTCTTCAGGGTGGATCAAATTATTAAAATGCTTCTGCTTGTTTAGGGTTCCCAACCCTAAACATAGGAATTGGGGCATTTTTAATATATATATATAATTAGGAAGAAACCCGAGTGAAATGAAAACTACGAAATAAATCGAGACATTTTGGTCTCGTTAATGTTTGGGATGAGTTTTGGCCCCTTAATGATATCTTGGTGTAATTCTTAATATGCATTCGTTTCTTTGTTTCATTTGACAACCCCGCTGTTTTCTTGGGCGCACAAACTTTACCCAAATAAATTATATATTTTTCTCCTTTAGATGAAATTTTTTATTTAATGATGCAGAGATCTAGCTGAAAATGAGTTGATTAATTATAGGAATCGTGAGTAGATGGCGGAAATTAGATGTGTGAAGGTTTAAAGTTAAGCGCACTACATTTTTTTCCAACTCATCTACAACTCTACTCTAATATTAGGAAAACGTTTATATAGAGTCGAGGCTCTAAACAATCAAATTAGAGCCCACCTCAAAAATTTCATTAGAAGAGTTGGTTTTGATGTTCAAATATCTTCAAATTGATCATCCCGACATCAAGATGCTTGGACATGAGAAAAAAATAGATTTCTAATTTCTAAAATAGTGTATCTTGTAACCTATATTTGTACTGTCAAACTTCAAGATTTTCATGTTTTCATAGATGTGTTCGATCCGCGTTATTTTTTAAACTTTAAACTTTATAATTAAAGATAAAAATATATTTTAAGGCTGTTATAAATATTTACAGTATTAAAAATACATTTCTCGACATTAAGTGAAGGTGTGCTTTACTTTGATATTTTAAAGCATCGGCTCTATACAAAACACACCCCTAATATTATTTGTGGACACGAACAAATTGGGAGAATAATCGAAAGTCATTAAAAGTCATCAAATTTTGTTAATGGTAAAAAATGAATAAAAAGAACGTTATTGAAAGTAATCAAATTTTGGTAATGGTCAAAAAAAAAAAAAAAACCGTTGAAAAGTCTTCAGAACGCCAAGTCTTGACAACTTATCTCTTCATGGAGACGGAAAAGAAATCGATTTTAAATTTGAAGTTTAGAACCTTAAAAACAAAGATAAAATAAATAAAAAAATCGAAAACCTTTTAGACCTGACAATAAAAATATGAAATACTCTCTAATTCCCCGAAACTAGTTTTTGGGTCCACACGTAAATTTTGCCTCCCCTATAGAAGGGACTCGCGAGGAGGGCTTGTAGCAAGCATTTCATCAGTGCTTGTTTAGTCAATAGAAGCACCATGGAAGCTAAAAACGGAGCCCTTCTTCCCCACCCTCTGCGTCTTATCCCAATATTATCATACACTGCTGTCATGTGCCTTTTCGATTTCTCCAGGGCCTTAGAGGGCTCCCCATTTTGTAGAGAAAATGAAAGAGTGGCCCTCTTGGATTTCAAAGCTTCTCATTCCAACCCAAATGCTACATTGAAGGTCCAAATGGATTCATGGAAGGGGTTGAATTGTTGTGAGTGGGAAGGAGTGGAGTGCCACAGTTCCTCATCTCATGTTGTGAGTCTCAGAGTATATAGGACACCTTGGAAGATCAATGGATATACAAACTCTGTCATGCTGAATGCCTCTTCCTTAACTAGACTCAGCCAGCTCCAACATTTGGAACTGAGGTTCTTTGCTGGTGTGTTGCCCATAAAAGGTGAGTCTCGTTCAGTAGACAAATTTATACATATTCTCTTCATCGTTGTTTCGTGATAGGTGATAGTAATTACTGGGCTCTCAAAATTTGCGCATGGTTATTTTATTATGGTTGCAGAGCTCTCAAAGCTAAAGAACCTGCGCGAGTTAATCTTGGTTTCCAATGAATTTAGTGGAGGAATTCCTGAGGAGGTGGGTTTGCACTCTTCCCTTCAGAAACTTGATCTAAATGGGAATCGGCTTCAAGGACCCATCCCCGACATCCATTGGTGGCCTAACATTTTTGGTTGAGCTGGATTTGCATTACAATGATCTCAATGGAAGAATTCCAGAGGAAGTGGGTTTGCTCTCTTCCCTTCAAAAGCTTTATCTATATGGGAATTGGCTTCAAGGACGCATACCATCAACTCTGGGTAACTTGTCCCGTCTCAATAGTCTAAACCTATATGTGAATCAACTTTCCGGTAGCATGCCAGAATCTCTTGGCAGCCTATTATCATTGGAACGGCTTGACCTCGGCAAAAATAAACTTGAAGGGAGCATACCGTTGTCTATTGCCAACCTCACCCTCCTTAGAAGATTAAATCTTGAAGAGAACATGTTACAAGGAAACATACCTCCTATATTCGGATACCTCTCCTCTCTTAAAAGTCTCGTGCTTAGTGAAAACCACCTGCAAGGTTCTATCCCACGCCAATTAGGTAAGCTTTACTCTTTGAGTGGTCTTCATCTCAATGATAATGACTTGTCAGGTGATTTCTCCTTCACAATCTTTGCAAATGTTTCTAGCCTCAAATATGTCCACCTCTCTGCAAACCCTATGCTAACCATTTCCCACAACAACTTTACGCCTGCTTTCCAGCTTAATGGTCTCAAGTTGTCATCGTGTGACATGAGAAGGTTCGACTTAAGTTCTCCAAGCTTCCTATCCACTCAAAACCAGTCACTGTCGATCTCTCAAAGAGCAACATTACAGGGAATATCCCCTCTTGGTTACTCGAAAACACTGGAGAACTGTTGTTGGATGGGAATTTGCTCACAGGAGTACAATTTTTGCCTAACATATCTTACGACCTCATTAATTTGGATATCTCTAACAACCAAATCAGTAGGAATTTTCCAAGAAATTTCCCATAGTTATTTTCCAAATTTGCAATCACTTAAAATGTCCCAGAATTTCCTTAATGATGACTTAATGTTTTACATCAATGGCTTTAAAAGATTGAGAGTGTTGGATTTGTCTAGCAACAATATCTCAGGAAACTTGCCTTCCATTTTCCCCTATAACCTCACAATTTTGGACTTATCAAACAACAAAATCACTGGAGAAATACCCCCCAATTTGATCAGAGGACATTACCTCATGTTTTTGAGCCTGTCTGAGAACTCCTTGAACGGACCCCTGCAATCCAAACATTTCAAATTACCAAATTTGGTATCACTCCATCTAGATAACAATGCATTCAATGGAACCATACCGAGGAACTTGTTGCGGTGTAGTCCATCTCTAACTGTTTTAAATCTTGCAAATAATAAATTATATGCTCCCATGGCAATTGAATTATTTGGGCTTTTGGAATTGAAAGTGCTAATCTTGCGAGGAAATTTTTTCGATCATATTCCACTCAAATTGTGTCAAGTAAAAAGTTTGGCCGTCTTAGATTTTTCCCAAAACAACCTTGAAGGTCCCATACCTCCTTGCTTCAATAATTTTTCTGCATGGACAAATGCATCCTTTATTGGTTCCATTTCATATCATTTTGCCCCATTTTGCGCCTTTTCTACCAAATTTGGTTCTTATTTTAGCCCTTACACAATCTCACAAGAGAAGGTGGAATTTACAAAGGGAAATATATATAGTTATCTCGGGGATGCTCTCAAGTACATGACCGGTTTGGATTTGTCGGAAAACAAATTAAGTGGCCCTCTTCCATTAGACATGGGGCTTTTAAAAGAACTTGCCATGTTGAATCTCTCCAACAATCTTCTAACAGGTCCAATTCCCAAATCCTTTGGAGGGTTATTGGGTCTCTCAACATTAGATCTTTCTTACAATGCACTCTCAGATGAATTTCCTTCTCAATTGACAAGACTTACCCATTTGTCCATGTTTTCTGTTGCAAATAATAATCTATCCGGTGAGATACCAGACAACACAATTCTGTACTTTCAATGAGAGTTCTTTTAGTGGAAACCCAAACCTGAATACACAAGGAAAGAGGTGTTCGACAACTCTGTCATCAAATGTGCCAACTGCATCGAGCTATAATGATGGTGAAGATGAAGATGAAGATGAAGATGAAGAAGAAGGAGAGGAAGGGTGGATGGAGATGACACCTGCGTTCTATGCTTTCATTGGCTGGGTTATGCTATTGGCATTTGGGGAGCACTAGCCTTTCTTTTTTTTGGCAACAAGAGAGGACATGCTTGTGTGAGGGCCATGGACGCGATAGTCTCCCGACTTTTTCGTGCATTTTGCCGTAAACATTAGAGTCATTCGACTTCTTCTCCTGTTCACACACAATAATCCAATGGGCAACAATGTTACCATTTGGCACAATTACTCTATTGTAAGGTTGTAAGATATGTAAAGGTTCGGTCAGAAGGTCGTTTTTTATTCATTTCCAAATTGCCCATCGGACTGAGGATCTTCAGACTACTTGTTATTTTTTATTTTAACTAATTTTTTTCTAAAGTAAGGCTGTAGAGTCTTATTTAATGCAGTCCAAAGATGCCAACCGGGTTATACCTTTGAAAGGATAGAACAAAATCCGAACCTAACACAACTGGGTTTAGAGATTACGAAGGAAATTAGATGGAATAAAAGATCACGAATGGACGTAAAGCCACATTTTTAGGTAATCTTGGTGTATCAAAGAGTCTCTCAAGAACTTCGTTCAATTGTCTCCCTTCAATTCCCACCATTAATATATCCAAAAAAAAAAAAACAACTTTTCAATTCCAAATTTTGACTTTCAATTTAGTTTTCAAGGCACGGTCTTGCTTAAGGTAAATTATAACCATATTTTTCTCTTTTAAATGAAGATGAGCGTGAACTATTATTGTACGACCAGGCCACTAGGGAGGATGGATTTTCTTGATTCAAATTTTTTTTACAAAAATAAAAAAATAATAAGCTAGATCTTAAAAGCTTGATCTGACCATCCAAAACCTAGCAAATGCGCATCCAAATCTGAAAAAATGCATATTCGTTTTCATTTGGAGCCAAACAAGTAGTTTTGTATGTATCATGGGCATGGAGAAGGAATACAAAAACATACTAGATGTTGAGAAAGTGCTGATGTTGAGAAAAAGTTACAACATCAGTACTCTTCTTAGGTTAGGTTAGTTTTTAAACTGCAGAACCTACCTTATAACTTAAGCGTAGTCTAAGTGACTCACGTCTATGGATTATTGATTATTATGTCAGAAAATGAGCAGCAAAAATATTTTAACTCGCTGCGATCCAGCTTGTGAATCGCTGATCCAGACAGAGAATCAGCAGGGACAGAACTGTTTTTGTAAAGGTATCAGTTATAACCGGTTCCCCGCATAAAATTCCGCATTTCACATTTCTTTTTTCCCTTTTATTATGCTTATCTAATGTTTCTTTACTTCCGCCCTATTTTTATTTTTATTTTTTAATATTTTTCTAGATTGTCGATCCAGTTATCTATCAGTGATTTATGTGGTGGACCATTTACCCCATCGATTGAGGTTTTAAAATACTAGTCCATAAAAAGGCAATTTGAAGGTGCATGAGATGGTAGTTCCAAGGGCTACATCAACAGGCAGGTGCAACAGCCTTTTTCTTAATAGGCCTCATGAGAACTTTCTTTTAAGAAATAAGACATTAAAATATTTTATTTTTGAGTTTAGCTCTCCAACTTTTTATAGTGAGCCAAATGGAGCTATTTGCTCCTCATAAAAGGAAAATATTAAAAGTCATGCCTTTCCTATTTATAAAAAGTATTTTATTAATTAAAATGAGATTTTGTTTCATTTTTCTGACCAAGAGAACATAAAAAATGAGGGTATATACAATGACAGTCCATGAGTATAATTCTTAAAAATGGTGGCGTATACGTAGTATTCCCTAAAAATATATCTTATTACAATAGCATCATTCTATAAATATAATTATAAATAAAAGCCTAAATTTTCCAAGGAGGTGGCCAAATCCACTGCGTGATTCCCTTGCTTACATTTGTGGGCAATCTTGGAGGACTATATTCTTTTGTATTTTCAAATAAGGTCTTTGCAACCTTAGAACAATATGTCGCTCCAACCTTATTGTATAGGGAAAAGTTCATAAAAGGGTAAGGTTCTAAATAATCAAATTAAGGTGCTCCTCGAAAATTCACTCGAAGAGGTTGCTTTGATGCTGAGTAACCCTCAATTCTATCATCTCAAGCTGAAGATGTATGGACATGAGATAAAATTGATTTCAAGTCTTAGAAATAGTGCATCTTGTAACGTATTACTAGACCATCAATTTTCGATATTTTTAAATGTTCATCGATTTGTTAGGTCAACACTATTTTTTAATATTTAAATATTATAATTAAAGATGAAAATAAATTTTAAAGTTATTACTAAGATTTTGTATATTGAAACAACATGAAGGTGTGCCTTACTTTGATTGTTTATAATTTCAACCTTATACAAATCACACCCTTTAATAAAAGATCTATTACTTTTTTGTTTATGTAAACAGAGGAGGAGGGTGCTGTTTGTATATGTCTCACCTTTAAAGGCGCATCGCTAAATCAGTTCAGAATACGTAATTTTGGACACACTTTGATGGCCCAAAAAATCTATTTCGACATTTACGTATGAAATTTAAAGTTATTTGTGAAGATAGAGGCGATCGATAAATACGTTGTTTTAGATAATATGTTACAAGGTGCACTATTTTTAGAACTTGAAGACCTTCGTATCTATATATTTCATGGTTTTTACCAATTTTCCAAGGAGTTTTTAAAGTGCTCATTACTTTCACAGTTAGGGGAGACAACAGGTCGGGTTCGGGTTTAGTAATCCGATCCAAAATTTAGACCCATACCCAGACCTGTTGGGTCCCTGTGACAATAATAATGTATGTCAATATTATGACAATATTGTAACAATATTGTCAATATTGTCAATATTGTGACAATATAAACATCTAACGCGTGCATCACGACGCATGATTGCAATTATATATCCTATGACTATGGGTACGAGTCGAGTCTGGCTGGACTCAGACTCGGACCCGAATATTCCTAATGGCGAATCGTGCGAAGATGCCTCTCACTCTGAAATGGATTTACACAATAAATAGTATTATTGCTAAAATTGTCCATTCACATCAAAGGCTTCTTGAATGCATCGGGATTGTATTTTCTGCCATAATCTATGTTTTTATATTTTAAGAAAGATGAAATTTCTATAAGGCCTAGGATTTTATGAAAACAAAATAAAGCTTCACGTCAAATCCTTATTTGGAAAGTCACTTTTGGCAACGGAAATCTCCATGATGGATCTAAAATCAATTTCAAATACCGACAATAAAATTTGAAACAAAAAAAATTATACAGAACTTGTGGATCTATGGACATATATTTTTAGGATGAAATGTATGGTCTAAATAATTTATTATAATATATATTATTTTTTAGAGCTTAAAATCCTAATTTCTTTTTACAACCACAATTTTCAAGCCGAGATAATCCACGTAAAAGTTTTCCAATGCTTGAATTGTAAACATCGATGAGTTATGAGTTGAGACTTTACTTAGTTTGATAGAGTTGCAACCCTATCAAATTATTTTCCTTTTTAAAACGTCCCCATCTCTTAATCAATTTTTCTTAAAACCATCTTTTTTCGACCCTAAT